TCATTAAAATTAGTTTACAGCAGCTTCTCAGCCAAAACATAACAATCAGTGTGCAATTCAACGTAATATGATTGGGTGGCTTGCCTTTTTAAGATGAACATACATCATCATTATTATCAATCACCACCACCATCGTCAGCATCATCATCATCATCATCATCAGTACCAGCAGCAGCATGATCATCGCGATCGTCATCATCATCACTATTGCTATCGACAATTAACAACTACATTGCTTCCACGCCCGCACTGAGGCTTGTTAAGAATTAATCGCCTCCTCATAGTCGTATCTAATCTCTAAGGAAGCCAACTTAACGCTTTGACAGCGTCTAGGGTTCTCCTCAGGCATGCCATTTACAGGGTCTACTGTAGCCTCCCATGCAGACGTTCTTAGGGGTTCGTCACGCGTTCCTGCCCCACGTGGGGCACGAACGTCTGAGGAACCCCTAAGAACCTCTGCGGGGGAGGCTAGGTCGACTATTGACTGCAGTGCTTCATTATTCTGTGATTGATTCATCTAAACAGGACCAAGAAATGTAAGTGACCAGACGGAGGAGGCTACCAGTGTTTCTGTTGTCGGTTCACCGATCATGCAGGAGTGTGATCAAGGTATTTTAACAATAAAGTGGTTGAGTCAAACCGCGTTAATACGGACACTGGTGAGGTGTACGTGAAGCGGGTCATTTTTTATAAGTAAACTATACACCTTTTATTTGAACATAAAACTAAAGAAATAAAACAGGACATTAAAATCATAAAGTTAACCTCGAAAATGTCGTCATTTGCAGACTGCAGATGTTCATGAAAACACTCAAACGTCGCTCATCTATACATTACTTAATCAAAAACCGTTCTCTGCATAACTCCTCTGATACCAACATAGTCTGAAATTGACGTTTCCAATTCATCCTATACGGTGCACTGTAGCACTGGAAACATCGACATGTTGTCAACTGAGGGGGTTTTTTTAATCTCGAAAAAGGAAAGGTATATTACAGCACACAGTTGACAATGAAGTTTTCGCATTAGCGAGGTTGACATTCTAAGAGAATCTGTTGACTGCGCAAAAATAAGTGTGGGTTGAATTTAGAGAAATTTATTAGGGCTTTCGCTAGGGACAATGAAAACTGTCCTTAATAATGAGGTGTCCGTATTAAGCGGTTTCCGTCCGTAAAGCGGGGTTCGACTGTACTTTTTTAGCGCATGATTCCCGAGATTATTATTGTTATTATTATTATTGATTGTTTATTACAAGCCAATGATGCCAATAAGAAAGTCTGGTCTATGGCTTATTAAGTAGTTGATTTTAAATCTGGATGACCCAGATGATGGGTTCAGACTTCTAAAAAGATGGTTATACCTTCTATAGGATATTCTTTTAAGAGTTAAATTTCTCTCATATTGGTATTAAATTTTGACACAGCAGGGAATGGACCAGAAAACCTACCCAGAACAGAGTGCCTTACAGGTATAAAAGAAACATTAAACAATAAATTATATTCCGGGTATATGTTAAGTTTGTAGCTCTGATAAAAGGTTACAGCTAATTTAAAACAACCCTAATCCTTTAATAAACATTTGTTTGATCCCTATGAAGGATTATTGAGATTTAGGAGAGTGTTAGCCGAAGCCGAAGGTTGAGTTGATGATATTACCTCATGTCAATAACTGTTTTTATTATTTCCACTAAAACGTTTCTAATTTCATTTGTTCATAACATTTGCCAGTTCGGCAGTTTTAGGATAAACACTTGCGTTTTTTTGTAGATATTTCTCAAAAATAAAGTCGAGAATTTTCCGTGCAGGCAGCTTCTGTATATTGTTCCAATCATTTTCAGTCAGAGCATTCAGCATTTGAAATCTTTCAGCCAATTTGGTTTAGTTTTTGCTCTGCACTGCCAAAGCCACCACTTTCTGTTGAGTGACGTCATTCACCCAATAATTTTTCTATTAGTGGATAATTGACAAATCATTCCATATAGCAAAAACTTATCGACGAATTACGAATTAAACGAATTCCCAATTTGTTCCGCGCCTGCTCGTCAAATCACAAACTGAGAAGAATTTTGAATGAATGTTAATGGTTGGTGGTTGAGAGAGGAGAAATCTGTTATTATATAGCGCTAGCCAACTTAGCTCGGTAAAATCCGCCGTACGGAATAGATGGCGGCTGTACATTTTACCACAGTTCCTTTCGAACCTAACACGGCCAATTACACATAAAGCCATATTTGGGTGGGAGGGGTGGGGGGGGGGGGGGGGGGGGGGGG